TTAATCAAGTAACAAATGCAGCAAATTCACTTAGGCATCATAGCAACAGTCTAAGATTTCTTACAACTGACAGCCCTTCCTTTTCTCGAATAAATTGCAGTTCATGAATCTCCCGTGATAGCAACACGGTAAACGCAGACATGACGATCGTGTTCGATGCAGCGTGCAAGATTTGATAGCCGGAAAATTACGAGCATGGCGATTATTCGGTCGACCGCAAGCCAATTCGGCTGACAAGAATCAACGTTTCGGCCAGCATTGGAATCGTTTCCAGCATAGTTGGTGGCAACGTTAACATTAATCGCGTCGAATTACTATCATCATTAGTGCCACTAACGCGGCAACTTTATGCGCATGTGTTTATTCCGCGAGCATTACACGCGTGATGTAACTCAAAAACATTTGCATATTTGACTCTTCAAAATTAATGACTATTTGGTATTTCTGAGAGTTGGAAGTTTGACACATTTGGGAGTTCTGAAAATACTAATTCAGGAATTTGGAATTGAAAAATTTAGGTCATAGAAGTTTAGAAATTTTTATAGTCAACAGATTGAAAGTTTTAAAGTGTAATTTTTTTAAATTTTACAAGCTTTGAATTCCAATGCGTCGTGATCTGATTAAATCTTCTATCAGGAAGATATTATCGACGTAACAGTATTCTGACAGTGTACAAGCTTCCTTCCTTTTTAAATACATTCCTTGCAGCGTTTAATGAGATTTCCGTCCGCGGATGTCAATTTCGTTCGAATCCGTGGCGAGGAGTGCAGGTTCGTTGTGTATTCTTTTTTCAGCCGTCTCACGCCTTGTGCCAGGAAGACTGATGAATAATGCATGAACGAGAGGTCCGGCCAGTTATAATTCATTTATCAAAGCAATGAGTCAAAATATGATTGCTGGTTTATTAATTGCTTTCAGGTTTCTGATGTACCATTTGCCGATGGCAAATGAGCTCGAATAAAATCCGACTTCTCGTGCTTCTTTGATACGTTTTTATATTGAACACCGCTCGAATATCTCTAGAATTAAACACCTTCTTATATCAATAGAATACTTAAATCGTTAACTTAACCCTAAGATTATTAAACCCATTAATCTTGCTGTTGCATTAAAAATTGTGACACATTGATTTTGTTTAAACCGAAATATGATTTGATACGAAACGCGTTAAAAATCTGATATATTCGACACAAACGATCGAGCCAAAATTAATAAACGTCCACGTGTCACGATATAAAGCTGTTAACGACGTCAATTTGATCGATGCCGATACGTGTAAACAATTTCGCGTAAAATTTCACGGAGAATGAATATTTCCGTTCGGAACAACTCGACCATTATATTCCATCTGTTTGGTCGGACATGTTACCGGTTTATCGTTATTTAATGCGTTCACAGGTTGCCGGTTCACGTATGCCGGCGTTCTGAAAATGGAAGACAATTTTTCCGGCTGTATAGCGCGTAGGTAGCGTGCGATAAATAATTTTCACGCATTTCGATGTTTTTTATCTGGAAGAATGATTCGAACGTACACGTGGCGCGGTCGCGTCGACAATTCGATATTCCGAACGCGCTCGACTGCCAAATTTATCTTCTGCTCGCGAGAAAAATGAACCCTTAAACGCCCGCCATTCTATTCGCTTTTATTCTCGTTTTTAGAGTCGCGTGCACGATATCTGGTATTATGACCTCTGCAGAAAATGGTGATATAAGAGGTTTCGCATAAAACTCGGGAAATAGATATGTGGAATTTTTCTGTGTATTTGAACATTTAGGAAGTGGGTTGGGAGTTGGAAATTTGGGGTTTGAGTAATTGGGAATTTGGGAGGGAAGATTGGGAATTTGGGGTTTTGGAGATTTGAGAGTTGGGAAATTTGGGAATTTCGAGATTGGAAGATTGGAAAATTTGGGGATTTGGAGATTTGAGAATTTGGAAATTTGGGGATTTGGGGATTTGAGAGTTTGGAGGGTTGCAACTGTGGACATTTAGGTATTTGGGGAGTTGGAGATTTGGACCTTTGGGGATGTGGTATTTGAGAATTTGAGAATTAAGGGATTTGGGCACTTGAGGATTAGGTGATTTGAGAATTTGGGGACTTGAGAGTTTGGAGGGTTGCAACTGTGAACATTTAGGTATTCGGGGAGTTGCAGATTTGGACCTTTGGGGATATGGTATTTGAGAATTTGGGAATTAAGGAATTTGGACACTTGAGGATTTGGAGATTTGAGAATTTGGAAATTTGGGGATTTGGGGATTTGAGAGTTTGGAGAGTTGCAACTGTGGACATTTAGGTGTTTGGGGAGTTGCAGATTTGGACATTTGAGGATTTAGTACTTGAGAATTTGGGAATTTAGGAATTCGGGGATTAAGGTATTTGGGCATTTGAGGATTTGGTATTTGAGAATTTGGAAATTCAGCAGTTTAGGGGGCTTGAAGGTTCGGAAACTTCGAAATTTGTGAGCTTGGAGATTCGGAAGTTTAGAAATTTGAAAGTGTAGATACTTGGGGAGTTGGAGACTCGGAACTTAGGTATTCGGAAAGTTGGAGATTTGGGCACTTGAGGACTTGGTACTTGAAAATTTACAAATTTAGGAACTTGATTATTCATAGATTTGGAAATCACAGAATTTGATAGTTTGAAAATTTGCAAACGAGTTTGCATGAGTTTTTGAATAAAATGAAACGAGTTTTTTTATACCTAGTACTTTGAAGATTCGGTACTTGGATATTTAGGATTCCAGAGCTCCCAGAATACCGAGATTTGAAAATTCACAAATGTACCTGATTCCTCCATTCCCGAATATCCCTCGAAATGGTTTTCTCTCCATAAATCTCCATTTCCCCCGGGAAAGCCTAGCGTGCTTACAATTGTAAGTACATCGTTTACCATTTCAACTGCTCGATTCGTAGAATTATCCGTGCAATTTGTCTCGAAACCACCCGCCGAGATCTCACCGTTCTCTTCAGGCGCGTTTCCCAGGCTCTCTCATGGCGAAACGATATCCCCGATCTCTTCGTTAACGTCTGAATGAATCATTAAACAAAACGTCTGCCGCGTGGGCCGCCTCCGGGGCTACTTTCGATCGATTCGATAAACAAAGCAGGTTTCGCACGCGTTCGCGTCGCTTTGTGTTCATTGAAGCTCGTGATTAAGCTGGAAACCGTGGTGAAAAGGGCGTCGGTATTTCTTTTTTTTTATTCACCGCGAGAAAGGAGGAGTCTTTTCGTAGTCTTTTGGCCGTGCGAGTCTCGGCCGTGTCGTTTGGCACACCTCTTAGACGTTCTCGTAGCTCTGGGCGCGTCATCAATAACGTCCTTTCCATTCTATGCCCGCTCGAGGGCGAGGAGACTTGGTCCTGGACGGGCAGAAAGAAAACGGACGAAGAAAATGAGGGTGAACGGGGTGGGGAGGTTTTTTTTGGTGGATGAAAGGGTGGGCTTGATCGTCGGGCATTATCTTCCTAAATTGCCCTGGCACACCAATATCCGCATAAAGGCTGCACCCTAACGTCCCTGCGTTCAATGTGCCATGTACAGGGTGCTTGCAAAGGGTTTTTGAGGGTGGTTATAAATTCCTAGAAATCACCTACATTTTTTGCTCTTCGAAACTTTATTTACTCGTCAGAGGTGCATGCTAGACTTTTCTGGGACAAATGATGAAAACATCGAACAATACGATTTGATGTTTAATAAAGAATTCTTGTTTATTAACACTTGGATTATTAAGTTCATAAATTTAGACATTTAAAAAATTCATATTTAGAAACTCAAGAATTTAGGAATATTTTATAACTTACATTAAAAATTCAATTAAGGCCAAAGTGTTTGAACAACCCCCAATTTTATTGACACATTCTTATGTTCATAAATTTGGGCATCAAAAAAATTCATATTTAGAAAGTTAAGAATTTAGGAATATTTTATAACTTACATTAAAAATTCAATTAGGGCCAAAGTGTTTGAACAACCCCCAACTTCACCCTGTTAGAATTCAGTAGTGCTTGTTTTTGAGCACCCTGTATGTTCATGTACGTGTAAGAGCTCGTAGAACGCACGATGGACCCTTGGAAAATGAGGTTCCCGCACCCTCGGTGTTATTATTATTATTATTAACGGTGTTCGCGAGGGTGTGTCTGGCAAGCGTGGATACTCGAGGGCTCGTTTCGGTTCCCAGGCCAGGACGTGCGTGTCTAGGAGACTTCTGTCCCGTGGACGACGCTTTTATATTTTCATTAGAGTACACAGGAACATTTTACGAGCCACCATCGCGGTGTCGTAATTGGCTGCTTTAGTTCTGGTATTATGGGAATGTTTAATGTCGATTTTCGGAAAACGTGGTTAGAAAGGACACTCCTTAGAAGAAATAAATTGGATTTTAGGGAAATTGGACTAATATTGGATTTTATGACTAATACTTTCCACATTGATTATAACTACTATTTACTATATCAGTTACAACTAATATCTTCATCATACAAACAAATATAAAATTCAAATAGTATAATGTAATTTTCTTTTGACACTGATATTTCTACGCCAATAAATAAAGCAGCGTGTAAACGAAATTTACTGCATGTTTTATTCTACTTTCCATACGTAGTAATGTAAAGATATGCTGTAATATGGAAAAGAATTCATCTTGACGTAATATTACAAAAGTTCCGTGCGATAATCTAGCGGGGAAATGAAATCCGTCGACAAAGGCAGAGAAATCAACACGTACCAGCGAAAACAAATTACATCCAGCGATAAAAGTCTCTCATGCATAACACGACAGTACCTACATTAACAGATACAAAGTAGGAGAAACTCCGCGTGCACCGGAACTCGACAATGACAAAAGAAATTAAGACCGACCTAACCTTATTACATCTAATTTGTTATCATTTCGTAATCACCATTTACTTGGCACACCGGAATACAATTCCTGTTTCACCATTCCCATGACAATTCTTGTTACTAATTGCTTTATTCTCCTTGCTTACAGGTAAGAGCCGACAGCTAGACATTCAACGACGATGACTCGCGATGCGAAAGCTGACAGCGCGCGGTGAGTGTAACTATACTCGATCATCCGGACGATGATATATCGCCGCGCAGTTCGTTAGCGATCACGGGGATCTATTGCTAATGAACCTCCTCATCGGTTTTCCACGATCTCGTTTTCGTAATCTATCTACCGCCGTTTAACTGGTTTCTTAACATTTAACATATTACATGAGAGGTGCGCTTGATTTGCGTTTGGTTGGATTGGTCAGTGTGATGAGAAATAGGGCGGAGGAATTCGATGTGGAGGAATATAGCGTTGGAATTTAATGCGTTGGAATAGGATGAGTAAGAAGTTGGTACGTAAAGATTTCGGCGCTTTGGAAGTCAGCACGTTGGAATTTGACGCGAAGGGATTCGACGCGTAAGATGACGGTGCGTAGGAATTCGGTGCGTTGGGATGCAACGCGTAGGTATTCGGCGCATTGGAACTCAGCGTGTAGGAACTCGGCGCGTAGGTACTCAGCGCATAGGAATTTAGCGCGTAGGAACTCAACGCGTAGGAATTCGGCGCATAGGAGCTCAACGCGTAGGAACTCAACGCGTGAGAATTCGGCGCGTTGGACTTCGGCGCATAGGAACTCAACGCGTAGGAATTCGGCGCGTTGGACTTCGGCGCATAGGAACTCAACGCGTGGAAATTCGATGCGTAGGAATTCGGCGCATAGGAGCTCAACGCGTGGGAATTCGACGCGTTGGACTTCGGCGCATAGGAACTCAACGCGTAGGAATTCGGCGCGCAGGACCACTGCGCATAGGACCTCTGCGTATAGAACCACTGCGCATGGGAACTCAGCGCATAGGACTTCTGCGCATAGCAACTCAGCGCATAGGAACTCACCGCGTGGGGATTCGGTGCGTAAGAACACCGTGTATGAGTACAACATGCTTTCATTTGACAAGTGAAAATTATTACGAGTTGGAATACAACGTTCAGCAACATAAAGCATCATAGGAACTCAACGCATGGGAATTCGGTGCGTTGGACTTCGGCGCATAGGAACTCAACGCGTGGGAATTCGGCGCGTTGGATTTCGGTGCATAAGAACTCAACGCGTGGGAATTCGGCGCGTTGGACTTCGGCGCATAGGAATTCAACGCGTAAGAATTCGACACATAGGAACTCAACGCGTAGGAATTCGGCGCGTTGGACTTCGGCGCATAGGAACTCAACGCGTGGAAGTTCTGCGCGCAGGACCACTGCGCATAGGACCTCTGCGTATAGAACCACTGCGCATGGGAACTCAGCGCATAGGACTTCTGCGCATAGCAACTCAGCGCATAGGAACTCACCGCGTGGGGATTCGGTGCGTAAGAACACCGTGTATGAGTACAACATGCTTTCATTTGACAAGTGAAAATTATTACGAGTTGGAATACAACGTTCAGCAACATAAAGCATTTGTTTCCCACATTTCTCCAAAAACATGCAGGCTCCTTATTCGTCTCGTGCAATCCTCCCGTATACAAAATTATGCAGCAAAGTACATTTTCATGTTCTCAGTCATTTTCATACCTGTCACTTATGTCCTAGCGCCGTGCACGCTGAAATGGCACAGAATCAAGGAACTCGAGAATTACTCGACGCCAAAACTGCGAGTAAACGCGTTGCGATGATCGCATCGAGGCCTGCATCTGCGGCCTGATAATTAAGGTAAAAACGGGACAGTTTACTGTCTGCCGGTAGTAGCTAACTATCGCCAGAGATTACTATGGTTAGAGGGACATCAAACGCGGCCGTTTTCATGCAGGGGAACAACGTAAATATCGCTAAGACGGTGTTCGTGGAGACGGTTACTTTTTCCTCTTGTTCGGTGCGTTCATAAAATGAAGAAGAACGAGTCGGTTAACCGGGACCTTACGAGAAATTACTCTGTTCAAGGGCCATGCTTTTCCAACGGCATGGTCACGCGAACGATTTCCATTCTGTGAGAGGAAAATGATCCTCCGTGACTTCGAGCCAGTTTAATGAGTCTTCGGCGAATGGGCTTCTAAAGCGATATTAGAATTTTGTACGGTGTAATCAGTTGCTTTTAATTTGACGTATAGATTGTGAGCAAAAAACAGGACTAAAGGGCAAGGAAAGGAAGTGAATATATCCGTGTAATGTCCTCTTCATTCCCTGTGGAACAGCTACGTTTATGTCATTATTATCGGTCATTGCTGCTATTATACAGTATTAAACTTTATCGGTATCTGCTATAAAATACTAGCATCTTTTCCTTCATCCACCACCAGTCTTTTAAAAGGTGGCATCAAAAGGTCTTTTTCAAGTTCTTCGACAAAAATTCATCCGTCTAAAACATGGACTTTCGAAGACAGAACCTAAGCAACCCTCGCCAAATTGAAAGCAGCAAAGTTACACGGGTTAGAATTTTGAAAGCCATCGAGACGGAAGTATGGGGTGTACGCGGTGTCGTATCCGAGGATCGTTGAAAGGTGAACAATGTTTGGGGGTTAGAACGTCGGGAATAAGTGTGTGTATCTACGAAAGAGTGGGAGGGATGGAATAAAACGCGATGGAAGCTCCGAAGAGGTTGGAAAAGTGGTGTCGGCGAGGAATTGGGCGGGAAGAGTGGAAGGAAAAGGAGAAAAAGGAAGTCCAGAGGGCAAAAGGGGTGTCAGAGGGAGATACGAAAGAAAGAGGTCTCGAAAGAAAAGGAGAGACATAGGAAGAGAGGGGAAAAAAAGAAGAATGGAGAGAACTTTGTCGACAACTATCGCTGGTTCAAAAGCCTTCAGGCACCAGGGAAATATGCGCTGTGATCGGGACGTGTATCAGCGGAGGAATCGTGCGACAAAGACGTCGCATCGATTCCCGTGGAACAAATCACGACCTCTCGTTTCTTTCTGGCTCGTCGATCGTGCCCCAGAAAACGTCCTACAGAGAATTGATTTCGTCGACTTGGATCATTCGATGTTCGCGATAAACGCGGAACAGATACTTTTTGTAATGAGCGTCGTTTGCTAGAAAGAAGAATATACATTGTACCCAGACAATGTCGTCAGAAGCTACGGGTATTGTTATTCGAACGATAACGGACGTTTGCATTATCGATACGACCCAAAGTGGAATTCTCTAATATACATGGCGCGATAGCAGCTCGAAATTATGTGCTGGACCTGCAATTATTCGGTGGTTTATGATTTTATCAATTTTCAATGTAGAGCTTTATAACTTGGGAATTTGCAAGTTTTAATATTATGAGATATGGAACTTGAACAATTGGAAACAGTAACGTAAAAATTTCCTAATTATTATATTTCTGAATCCTCGAATCTCCAATTATCTGAAGTGTCAAATCCCCAAGTCCCACATCCCTAAAATTCCAAATTCTCAAATGCCCAAATTCCCAAATTTTCAAACTCTAAAAAATGACAAATCTTCACATCAACTCCCTGAGACAGTAAACCCCAGTTCCCAAATTCTAAGAACACCAAATCCCTAAATCCCCAAATCTCCATATTTCCAAATTCGCAAGTTTCCAAACTCCTAACTCGCCAACTCCCCAGGACCACCTTACGAGTTCCCTAATTTTAAACCTAAATCCCCATTTTCCTAAATTTCCATCCGCGACATCTCCAAATCCCCAAATTTGCGAATTAGAAATCTCGGTACTCGTGTAAACCCGACAACAGGTGATAATCCCACGGTGTTACAGAGCGAATAATTGGGTTTCTCCTTACATCGCCACTTTGTTGTACGTAGAAGCCTTTACGGTTAGGACGTTTAGCGTCGTGATATCGATCGTGGCTGCTAGAGATTAATAATAGTTATCGCGTGTGTAAACGAAGATTAGCAGATGAGTACAGAAGGGGTCAAACACGAGGAATTCGTTGAAGAAAATTAATTCGTAATTACTAGGAGACGAGGCTTGCGTACCGGTTAGAAACGACTCGTTTACAACTGGCTAGCCTGTAATCTGCTTGCTTTCCACGGAACGTTTGTTTAATCCGGCACTTAAGGTCTTAATGTGTTTGCTGGTACCCAGACGTGTTCACACGTACCATATTTCACCGTGCTTATCCTACTTGCAGGTCAAAAAACAATTATTACACCGGGGCTGTTAAGATCGGTGAAACTGACGCAAAACTGGAATATGTCCTGATGATGGATTCATAACGTTGTGTGCTCATAACTCTGTGCGTTACAATGTTTAACTTGATACTCGAATATCTGGTCTGACATCGAATGTACCTAATTAGACACTGTTATATTTGCTTGTAGTAAAAACTTAAAAATTTGACATTTTTGTAATTTTGTGAACTTAAAAATTTAGTAATTGATTAACTTGAAAAATTGAGAATTTGAGTCCGAACAAATTTTATGGTTGTACTGATCGAAAATTTGTAATGAAGTTAATTTTAAACCCCAATAAATGAGAAGAAGTATCATTTTTAATTATGAACATTCAACAGAGTAAAAGAATATATATTTTAATCCTCATAATAATATTTTAATGTCTAATTATAATTATCTGAATGAGACTACACAATTACGTTTTTGATTCAATGTCCATATCAAACATGCTGGTTGTATAAAGAAACGAGGTTCCCATTAAACCACGCGTATCCGACATCGATAGCATTTTCGTGTTCAATTTCCTGCCCGATCCAGTTTTTTTCTTTCTATCGAGTTCGGTCTTTTCGGACGCGAAAAATACATACATAGGTCGTTCCGGCAGCTTTGGCCCGGTTGCTTTTGCAGTTCTGAAAACGGGCTATGGGAAAATGGGAACCCATTGCGGAATAAAAGCTGCAGGTACGATTGTTTGATCTTTCTAACGTTTAACATTTCCGTTCTTTTGCTCCAAAATGATGGAATTCTTGTTTTTCTGGGGAATTGGATTTTAAGTAGAGCGAAAGGTCAATGGATTACTTTGGAAATTGGTAGAAAATATTCTTATTAGCTTGATATATTTTAGGCTGAATAACATACCGTGTATACATACTGTCACGTATAAATATATGCACTTTATTATAATTAAGTAAACGAAACAATTA